TTGGATTGAACATAAACCTCATTTCTGACATCCTCTCATTGCTATTTCGGCCTTCATTAGCCCTCTCACCACAGGCCACTATTATTTAGCTAGACATAGAATTATTTAGGTAACGTCGTTTGTGCTGTTAAGACCCCAACGAGAGGCTGGAGTGATAGCACAGTGGGTGGGGCATCTGCCTTGCACACGGCCAACCCGGGTTGGGAGTCCCAGCATCTCATATGGTCCCTCGAGTACCTCCAAAGAGTTATTCCCGAGTGCATGAGCCAGGAGTAACCCCTGTGCATTGCCGGTTGTGACCCAAAAATTTTTTTAAAAAAGACCCCATTGAGGGGGCTGGGTGGGCAGGACTCTTGCCTTGCATGCACACCCCTCCTGGGCACCATATATATCGCCTGAGCCCCACCAGAAGAGATTCCTGAGCATGGCATCAGGAATAAGCCCTCAGCAGAGCAAGTGTGGCCCAAACACCAAAACAAAACAAAAACCACATCTAACAAGACAACGTGATTGGTTCTTTAAAGCAAAATGCTAAGTAAAGGTTGCCCAGAAATGGAAATACATACTTTATGCTTCTCTCTGCATGTAAGATTCCAGAACAGGCTAGAGGACAAAGCCAGTGACTGGCTGCCCATGGCAAGGGTGGGGAGGGACAGATCATAATGAAGGCAGAGGGCAACACTCTGGATTAAAAAAAAAATGTCCCACGTTGGGGATTGTGATGGTGATAAACTGACTGTATATCTTTTTCAAAACTTAACTAATTTTTTTTTGGGGGGGGCACATCCGGTAATACTCAGCAGTTGCTCTTGGATTTACACTCAGGGGAGCAGATGGGATGCCAAGGATTGAACTGTGTTAGCTGTGTGCAAGGCAAATGCCCTTCCCATCCATACTATACTATCACTCCAGCCCAAAAACTTAACTAATTTTACAATTAAAACTGGTACGTTTGGGTTGGAGAAGTAGTACAGTGCGTAAGGGGCTTACATTGTCTATAGCTGATCTGACTCAATTTACAGCATCACATATGGTCCCCAAGGCACTGACTTGAGTGACTTCTGAGCACAGACTCAGGAGTAAGTCCTGAGCATAGCTTGTTGTGACCCAGCACCCCCACCCCCAAAGCAAAAAAAAAAAAGAAAAGAAAAAGAAAAAGAAAAAAGAAACATGGTAAATTTTTGTTTTGCTTTTTTTTGGGGTCACACCCGGCGATGCTCAGGGGTTACTCCTGGCTCATGCACTCAGGAATTACTCCTGGCGGTGCTCCAGGGATCATATGGGATGCTGGGAATCGAACCTGGGTCGGCCATGTTGGCTGCGTGCAAGGCAAACTCCCAACCCGCTATGCTATTGCTCCAGCCCCAAAACATGGTAAATTTTAATGTATGCAAACGAGTCTTCACTAAAGCCCAAAACAAACCCATAAAACAAAGTTAGAATCTCTAGTATCACTGAACCAGCCTGAATCCTATGTTTATCCCACCTCTGTTTCTCTTTGATGTGTTAACAATGGTGTTTAGGCCACCTCCAGGGGTACCTTACATTTAGCCAACCAGGGTTCAATCCCTGGCACCCCAAGCTCTGTCATTGTGATCCCTGACCACAGAGCCAGGAGTAAGTCCTGAGCACAGCTGGGTATGGCCTATCCCCCATCCCACCCCCCAAAAAATAGTGTATTTAAAATGGAAAGGAAGGGCTGGAGAGATAGCACAGCGGGTAGGGCGTTTGCCTTGCACACGGCCGACCCGGGTTCGATTCCCAGCATCCCAAATGGTCCCCTGAGCACCGCCAGGAGTAACTCCTGAGTGCAGAGCCAGGAGTAACCCCTGTGCATCACTGGGTGTGACCAAAAAAAAAAAGCAATAAATAAATAAATAAATAAATAAAAATAAAATGGAAAGGAAAGAAGGAAGGAAGAAAGAGGGGCCAGAAAGATAGGACAGTGGGTAGGGCACTTGATTTGCATGCAGACTGGCCAACTCAGACTTAATCCCCAGCATCCCATATGCCATATGGTCCCCCAAGCACCGCCAGGAATGATCCCTGAGTGTGGAGCCAAGAATAACCCCAGAGCCTAAAATAGGAAAGAACGAAAGAAAGAAAGAAAGAAAGAAAGAAAGAAAGAAAGAAAGAAAGAAAAGCTATGATATCATACTCTATGGAACACTAGAGATAAAATGGTGCCATTTGGGAGAAACTGGGTAGAACTGGAGGTGACTGCTAACTAAAGGAAGGAAGAGAAATAGAATCATCAGATGGCTTCCCTCAGGTGAAACATGAATAACTAAGATGAAGAAATTAACAAAAAATGTCAAAAGCAAACTCCTATGCTGGGGACGGGGCTCAGGACAGAGCACGTGCCTCACAAGGCGGGGGGAGCCCTGGCTTCCCTCCTGACATTACATGTTCCCCGAGCACCGTCAGGGGCAAGCCCCCAGCACCGAGTCCAGAGTGGCAATGAACACCATAGGGTGTGTCCCCCAAACCAAAGCAAAGCAGAAAACACCCACCCTCAGTGAAAACTATGGTGATTCTCAGAGTGTAAAGCCAGGTGGGAATGGATTGGGGGCTAGGATAGAGGGGAAACAGGGGTCTTTAGGGTGGTGGGATGGCTCGGGAACTTTAACGGCAGGGGCAGTGAGTCCTGTACACCGAGGGTGGGGTCTGAAGCATGAATCAATTCTAAGAACAGAGAGGGGGGTGGGAGAGAGTGCAGCAGGCAAGGCACTTGTATAGCACGAGGCTCTGTGCTCAGAGGGGGTCTTGGGGGACCCTGAGGGGTGCTGGAAATTGAATCAGCCACATGCAAGGCAAGTGCCCAGCTTGCCGTACTATCATTCCAATTCCCCCTTCACTTTATTTCTGAGAGGGAGCACATACCTGGGGGTACTCAGGAAAACACGTGGTACCAGGGGTCCAACCCAGGGCTCCCGCAGGCAGCTAAAGGCTACAGCCCTTTGAACCATCATGCCACCCCCACCCTCCAATTCCACGTGAATCCTACACAGCTTCTGTGACCTCTCCTTCGAGCAAGTCAAGGACATTCTAGCCTTCACACCTTGTCCCCGCTAGCCCCTCCACCCGACTGTTTTTCCTGCAAGATGGGCCAAAGCTGACTAATTTCTCCCATAGGCCTCCACACTCCCCCAGGTGCCCCAGGTCACTCTCTCTGCCTCTCACTCCTGTAAGTTACTCCGAGGACCAGAGAGATATAGCAGGTAGAGCGCTTGCCTTGCACGTAATCGAACCAGGTTTGATTCCATCCCTAGGACCCCATATGGCCCCCTGAGCCTTCCCCTTTTCCTCCAGAATGATCCCCAAACTCAGAGCCAGGAATAACCCCTGAGCACTGCCTGGTGTGGCCCAAAGACCAAAAACTAAGCAAGTAAATAAAAGAGTTACTCCGCTTCCCATTAGTAACCCATAGCTAATTCTCTTCCTTATGTCTACCATCACAATCAGAAACGGCCACTGTGAAACCCAAGCACAAAAATTTGTAAGTCTACAACTGTACCTCATGATGTCTCACTAATAAAAATTTTAAAAAATAAATAAATAAAAATAAAAACTTAAACAACAACAGCAAAAAAGAAACGGCCACTGTGAAAGAACAGTCACTGGGGCCCTATTCTCTTCCTCTCGCTTGCTTATCTCTTTGTTTCTTTGCTAGTTTACTTTCACTCTGGAGAAGTCTGTGTTCTCCCTTGAACATTGACTTCTCTTCCCTCAGATCTTTCTAGATGAGTTTCAATAAAAATTCTTGCTTGACAAAAAAAAAAAAGAAAGAAAAAGGAAGGAAGAAGAAAGAAAGGAAGAAAGAAAGAAAGAAGGAAGGAAGGAAAGAAAGAAAGAAAGAAAGAAAGAAAGAAAGAAAGAAAGAAAGAAAGAAAGAAAACAGCTGTTTGGTTCAGAGAATGAGTTCAATGGGTTGGCACGTGCTCTGTGTGTTGGAAGCCCACATTTGATTCCTGGGGTAACTTGGTCCCCTGAGCACTGACGGGAATGATCCCTGAACACAGCCACACCCAGTGACCCCTAAGAAAACAAAATAAAAAACAGAAACATTCTGATATTCTGATTCTTTTTTTCTGGGTTTTGTTTTGCTTTCTTCTTTTTTTTTTCTTTTGGGTCACCGGCGATGCTCAGGGGTTACTCTGGCTTTGCACTCAGAAATCACTCCTAGTGGTGCTCGGGAAACCATATGGGATGCTGGGAATCGAACCCGGGTCGGCCGCATGCAAGGCAAATGCCCTACCCTTTGTACTATTATTGCTCCAGCCCTTGTTTTGCTTTCTTTTGAGGGCACACCCAGCAACTCTTGGGTTCTACTCTTAGCTTCGTGCATGGAGCTTGCTCCTTAGGAGTGGTCAGGGGACCGTCTGGTGGGCCCAGGATGAAACCCAAGACCCCCACACACAGAGCATGAGCTCCAGCTCTTTGACCCACCTCCCCAGTGTAGAAACATTCTTGATGCTCTTTCGATTTGTCATTGACTCCTCATCTAGACTCAAGTTCCTACAGAGTGGAGGGACACACAACTTATTCACAGCTGTGCCCCTGGCAGTCTGATGGGAAGAACATACTCAACGACACAAAAGGAGTCATCTGGGAGATCCCAGCATCATGTCTGCGTGGAGACAGAAGCTAAAGGCTCAGAGAGCAGAAGTCAGGGTCCCAGGCGTTGGCTGTGGCAGAGGCAGCCTAGATCAGCGTCTTACCAGTTCCAGAGCCCGTGTTCTTTTCTGGGAAGTTTCCTCCCTCTTCCCCATTATCAGCCGCCATTCAATGCCACCTGTGCAGCCACACGTCATGGGAGCCTAGGTCCTGCCATTGGTCGTCCTTCCCCATCTGTAGCAGGAGGGGGCCATGACCTTGGGCCCTGGGAGACCTGCTTTTCCCACCAGCTGTTCTGGGAATGGGGCCCAGTCCAGCCCCCCACGGGCTACCTCCTGCCCTATATTAAAGCCCCAGGCCCTCGTCTTTCCCATCATCTCGAAGCCTTCCACGATGCTCCGACTGCTGACTTCCCTCCTTCTTGTGGCCCTTGGTAAGCCCCAGCCCGTGTCTGTGCACCCTGAGTCGGAGCCCTTTGAGCTCAGGCCCCCACCCTGAGCCTCGGGAACCCAGGATCTCGTACCATAGTGGGGGGCCCCGCTTGTACCTGGGAAGTAACCGTGGAGACTTGGAGCTAGAGCAGGGTGGAGGGGAAAGCACAGACAAGGCAAGAGCAGGAGAAAGACTCGGGGGAACTGTGTGGGGTGTCCTCAAAGGGGGCACGAATAAAATTGAATGGTTAAGAATTGAGGCTCTGGGGCTAGTCAGTGTGGGCTGGGTTCTTTGCCCCATCGCTGACCACACCTCTCCCTGCTCAGATTCCCCTGCCCTGAGCCATGCCCAGTGGTTTGGTCTTTTCCAGGTCTCGGCTCCATAACACAGTCCCGTTCAGGACCCCCGCCCCCCTCTGAGCATCCTCCCTTAAGGAAGTAAGAGTAACAGATAATATTTCTTACGTGTTTCCCATGTGCCGAGGCAATGCTCAGGATTTTCAAAAAGTTATGTCCCGTCAGTCCTATTGCGCCCCCACTTTCTAGATGGGGAAAATGAACTCCCAAGAAAGATCCCTTTCCTAAGGAGGGCCAGAGCAGCCTTTTGAATCCCAGGCAGTCTCACTACAGAGCCGAGCCTCAACTCTATGTTTGTTTGCTTGAGGGCCACGTCCGGCAGTGCTCAAGGGCTACTCCCAACTTGGTAGTCGGGTGTCGCTCCTGGCACCATATGGTGCCAGGATTAGTGCCTGGGGCTCCTGCATGCAGAGCCTGTGCTCCAGACTTCGTGCCATCTTCATGACCCCGCAGTGGCCCTCTTCTGGATAATTGGTGTCGCTTCTAGACAGCATGTTGGGCTTTAGGAAGTACTCTAAGTGGTCAAGCCCTTTCACCTTACCAAGGAAGGACCATGTCTCATATTTACCTCTATCCTGGGACTCTCGGAGAGCCTGGCAAGCTACCGAGAGTATCAAGCCCACATGGCAGAGCCTGGCAAGCTCCCCGTGCCATATCCAATATGCCTAAAACAGTAACAACAAGCCTCACAATGGAGATGTTACTGGTGCCCGCTTGAACAAATCGATGAACAATGGGAGGACAGTGCTACAGTGAAGTGCTACCCTGGGACTCTAAGAACTCTACCAAGCCCTGTTCTGGCTGGAATGTTCACTGTGGCTTTGACTGTATGGTTCAGAGAGGGAAGGGGCTGGCCCATGGTCACAGAGCCAGGGAGAGCACAACTAGGATGGGGACCTGGGCTTCTTTTGCCTCTGGGGGGCGCTTTGGCTGATGGGTCCCAATCCTCTCTCCTGTAGCCTCCGGCTGTGGCAGGCCTGCCTTCCAGCCCGCAGCCCGTGTTGTGAATGGTGAGGACGCAGTTCCCTACAGCTGGCCCTGGCAGGTAAGAGCGATACCAGCCGACCTGTTTCCCATCAGGGCCTCCAGGTCCCTGTTCTGATTACAAGGCCTCCATCCTCAACACCTGTTTGCTTTCAAACCACCTGTTCATTTTCAGATAGTCCGCTTGGAATTTTCACCTGTTCAGTCCCTAGCCCTCCCTGGATGGTTGGCAAGTTAAAAGTGGAAATTGAGTAGGAATAAAGCTTGACTCCGGGGAAGTGGGAGGCACCAATGGTGAAAGTGAAGCCACTGTGCTTTCAGTTTGGGGCCACACACAACAGTGCTCAGGGATTTGTCCTGGCTCTGTGCTTAGGCATCACTCATAAGGGGTGCCATGGGTCAAACTTGGGTCCACTACATGCATCTCCATCTCCCAATGATCTTATGTACAAGCCAGATTTGGCCTGTGGGCTACGGTTTCCCAATCAAAGATTCAGCTTTTAAAAGTCAGAACAGGTATGAAAAGCCAAGAGAAGCAAAGGACTCAGGGAGGGAGGCTTGTGCCTCAGTTGCTGAGAAAACAGAGTGCAGAAGTGTTGGAGGCCTCAGGGGCTCTCAAGAGACAGAGGACTGGAGAACGTTCTAGAGGGCAGAGCATGTGGAGGGGCCCAGGAAAGTCACCAGGCTGAAGCTCGATGGACTCTGGAGCACCTCCTTGTGGAGATGTGCCAGGGCGGCCATGAGCGCAGCGGTGTGAGTTGGGCACTGCACATTTCTAGAGGGTGCCCTTCTGGAATTTCATGGTGGTGCTGTCCATGTAGAGTGCTGGCCTCTTACGGTGCCTCCTGCCCACAGATTTCCCTGCAGTATGAGAAGAACGGACAGTTCCACCACACCTGTGGTGGCAGCCTCATTGCCCCCGACTGGGTCATGACTGCCGGCCACTGCATCTCGTAAGTGCTCTCACCAGCCCATCCTGGGCAGCTGGGCGGAGACACCGGGGCAGGGGGCGGGAAGCCAGCCAGGCCCCCTGCTGACTCCACCTCCACCGCAGGAGCTCCCTGACCTACCAGGTGGTCCTGGGCGAGTATGACCGGGCTGAGAACGAAGGCCCCGAGCAGGTGATTCCCATCAACTCTAAGGACCTCTTCGTGCACCCCCTCTGGAACCCCAACTGTGTGGCCTGCGGGTGAGTTGCAATCTCAGACCGGGACTCAGGGCCCACTGCACCCATCAGGGACCCCAGGACATGCCTCAGCAGGGCCTTAGCCAGCCCACGGACTGTCCACACCAAACTTATTCCCTTCGAGGCAACAGCAGGGTCCAGGTGACTCAGCTGGGCAGCGCCAGACCTCAGAGCTACTCCGCTGACCCTGCCCCCAAGCCCAAGAGCTCCTCCTCTCTGCTGACTGGAGCCTGAGCACTGGGCTGAGAATCAGACTCCAGCACTAAGTGGCAATAGGGTCTGGGCAAGTCCCTGCCCTTCTCTGGGTCTCAGTTTTATCACTGGTCAATAATAAAGCCGGACCTTCTGGGTTTGCCGGTGATGGTAAAGGTCAGGGAGGGGATCACCAATCACCAGCCAGGAACACTGAACCCGGGAGTGGCCGGAGAGAGTTCAAAGGGCTGAGAACAAGTTTTGTCTGCAGGCAGCTGAGCTTCAGTCCCGCACATCACATCGCATGCCCCTGCCCCAGCTCTGCTGGAAGCAGCCCCTAACCACTGAGCTGGGAGTAGTCCCTGGGCACAGCAGGTGTGGTCCACAAACATAAAAGCCAGGGCTTCTCAAGCCCCCCCCCCCCCCATCCTGGGGCTGAAGAGATACAGCGGATAGTGCATTTGTCTTGCATGTGGCCAAACTGGTTCTGATCCCCAGCATCCCATATGGTCCCCTAAGCAACCTTAAGGAATCCTGTACACAGATCCAGCAGTAAGCCCTGAGCATTACCAGGTGTGGCCCCCAAACAAAACCAAAAAACGGTCACCCCAATTCCTTGTAAATAGCATATTTGGGGAGGCTCAGTACTTCCCTGGTGAGTGGGTTGTAAGAGAGCACAGCACCCCAAAAGTGTAGTGTCTCAGGAATGTGGAGCCACATCTCCCAAGAGTCCAGAATTAAGTGGAGAGAAACTGTCTCCCATCCAAGTACTAGCCAGCACAAACCTGACCTTGCTTAGCTTCTGAGATCAAACGGGAACGGGCACGTCCAGGGAGGTATGGCCCTAGACAGTGGAGAGAAATGAACACGTTCCCTACCCTGGCGCCATCAGCCTCACCAGGAGAGGGAGGCTCACTGGGATCCAGCTGTGCCGTGATGCCGGCTAGGAGAAGGCGTGTGGTGTTGGGAAGGAAGGTTGTGGGGGCAGAGCAGGGAAAGCCTGGGGTGCGCTGGTCTGGCGGTAGGCGCAACCTCCCCATGACCCTTCCTGTCCTGTCTTCCAGCAATGACATCGCCCTCATCAAGCTCTCTCGCAGCGCCCAGCTGAGCGACAGGGTCCAGCTTGCCTGCCTGCCCCCCGCCGGTGACATCCTGCCCAACGATTCCCCTTGCTACATCAGCGGCTGGGGCCGTCTCTACAGTGCGTCTAGTCCTTTTACTGTCTGCCTCCTCCTCTACCACAGTCTCTGTCCCCATCATTCACTGCATTGGGGCCACAGGGCAGTGCTGGGGGCTGCTCCTGGCTCTGTGCTCGGGGGTCACTCCCAGCGGTGCTTGGGGGACAGTCGGTGATTTAGAGGGTTTCTGGGTGCCAGGTGTGGGGCTGCCCTGGTGCAGGGCCACGTGACCTGGTGGGAGGCACATCCCTGCTTCAGACACCCAACTTCTTGGGGGCTCCTACCCATGACCCCCAGACTGCAGTGGAGGCTGGCTCCCCCATCCCCTGACTCAGTGGTCTCCCCATGCAGCTGGCGGACCTCTCCCCGACAAGCTCCAGCAGGCTCTGCTGCCCTCCGTGGAATACTCTACCTGTAGCAAGTGGGACTGGTGGGGCCCCTCCCTGAAGGACACCATGGTCTGCGCTGGTGGTGACGTCCGCTCTGGCTGCAACGTGAGTCCTCCCCAGCTCCATGCGGACCCCCCACCTCCACCCCTAGGGAAATGACATGGAGTGTTACTGCTGCAGGCCCCACTGGTTCACCATGCCAGGCACACATCGTAGAAAGTCAGTGTGGCGTAGAACAAGCCCTGGCCCAGAGTGGAGCCCCTGCATTTTAGTCCCCTCTCACATGCTGTCGTGACCGGAGAGCAAGTCTATGGTCCTCCCAGGCTTTGGCATCCAGAAGAAGCTTGAGGGTTTTTTTTTTTTTTCCTGGCTTTTTGGGTCATACCCAGCAATGTTCAGGGCTACTCCTGGCTCTGCACTCAGGAATCACTCCTGGCAGTGCTCAGGGGACCATATGGGATGCTGTGGATCGAACCCAGGTCAGCTGCGTGCAGGGCAAATGCCCTACCCGTTATACTATTGCTCTGGCCCCAGAAGCTTGAGATTTTGACACCAGGACCTCTCAAGTCCCTTTCAACTCCGTGGCCTTTTGATTCTGAAGTTAAACATCACCCTCATTGTAAGCGCGCATGAATACTAATGTTCATGGTTCCTGTTGCACTGCTCCTGGGGGCTTCCATCTGTTGACTGCACCCTCTCCACTAGACTATTCTCTTGCTTACTCTCACAAAATCCATCAGGCAAACATTACTCCCCATCACTGAAGTGGAGAGTCCCCAAGAGGTCAAGTCCCACAGAGGTTTCCTGAACACTCCCCCCGCCCCCCTGTCAGAACTAGTTGCTGGAAGCTCAGACTCGCTCAGCTCCCTACCTCAACTCTCTAACTCTTCCAGGGTGACTCCGGAGGACCCCTCAACTGCCCCGTTGGTGACGGCTCCTGGCAGGTCCATGGTGTGACCAGCTTCGTGTCTGCCTTTGGCTGCAACACCCGCAAGAAGCCCACCGTGTTCACACGTGTGTCTGCCTTCAACGACTGGATCCAGGAGGTGAGCGGGCAGGGTGGGTGCGGGTGGATGTCTGCCGCAGTGTGGTCCCAAGGCCTTTATAGCTTCTGGCTGGAGCGTGGTACTACCGCTGAGTTTCCTCGTGGCTGCCAGTGTTTCTGAAATGCCTTCTCCAGGGAGGTTCTTTCTTGTCTTGGATGATGGAGTGAGGCGTCAGGGCATCAGGACAGACTCAGTAGCAAGGGAAAAGAGGCTGAGAGCTATGTTAGGGGATGCTCAGGTCCTGTGGGATGGGTGGTGAGAGCAGAGTATTGCTGTTTATAACTGTAATAGTCACAATTTACAAACAAAACTGAGGTACTGAGATAAGTTTCTTAGTTAATAGTTGACTCCACTCCCACCACCCATCAAGTAAATATTATTATTACTCCATTATACAGATGAGAATAATGAGGCTCAGAGAGGTCAAATCATCCTCTCAAGATCACATAGCTAAATAAGTGGCAGGGCTGGGAGTTGAATCTGGACCCATCTGGCATCAGAATCTGTGACCTAACTGTTCTTATTTCCCCTTCTTTTTCCAGACAATGGCAAACAACTAAAACCCAGACCTGAATGGCAGTGCCCACTCATAAGCTTTGCAAAAAATAAACATCTCTTAGAAAACCTCAAGTCAGTTCTTTCTTTGACCATCTTTTTACCCTGCAGCTCATTCCTAAAATCTTAGATCTGATATGTAGAGATGGGACCAGATCCAATGCTCTCATACAGAGAAAAAAGGAAAGGACTGGGGGCAGGGAAGAGACAACAGGCGCTAAGGCACTTACTTACCTTGCTTGTTGTTATAGTGGCCTGAAAGCCTGGTTTGAGTCCCCCACACCACAGATGATTCCTGGAGTACCTCTGGTGGTCATTCCTGAGCCTAGAACCAAGAATAGCCTCTGAGCATTGCTGAATGTATCCGAACAGCCTCCCAGCCCCCTGATAAAGGGGAAGACTGTCAGAGAGATCAACCATCCCAGCATGTCTGGGACTGAAAAGGTTCCCAAGACTCAAGACTTTGAGTGCTAAAACAGGACAGTGTCAGGATGCTGGCTTCTGAGTACAGAGTTACACAGAACCACTGGCTGTCCCCTGCATGCATGAAACACAGAACATGGAAGAATCTGTAGGAAAACACACAGTGCCTTGGCAGGCACCTGGTGATGGGGAAGGACCATTTGCTGTTTGCATCCATTGACAAGCTGGGAAAGGAGGGCTGCACTCATTAATTCCAGGAGACCTGAGGAGGGATGGCGATATTATTTCTGCCTATAATGCCCCACTATTTGGACAAAAATGAACATGTAGGAGTCACTGCTTAAACATTTGCTAGGCACTTTGATATGGAACGATTAGAGCTGGGAGTACAGAGGGTCTTTGGGAAGACCCTTTGCACAAAAACACAATCCTTTCCCCACTGGTGTACATTTACACCAGGGCCAATATTTTTCTTTTCTTTGCTTGTGGTGCCAGGTGTTGAACGCAGGCCTTCACACATGAAAGGCAAGTGCTCAGGGCTGGAGAGATAGTGCAGAAGTTAAGGCACTTGTCTTGAATGCAACTGATACAGTTTGATCCCCTGTACCGCTGGCAATGACCCCACCCTCCCCCCTCCCAAATAAAAATAAATTAAAAAAATTTAAAAGGCAAGTGCTCTTCTGAGTTCTATCCTTGACCTCATCAGGACCAATTTGTGAGTGTGGTTTCACTGTCAAGAGCACTCCAGTGAACATCCTTTGGCCTATCTCTAGGTGCACATCTGTGAAGGTTTTTCCAGGGCATTTTCCAGGAAACAAAACTGCTGAGTGGGAGGGTGTACTCTTTGTCACCCTTACCCACTAGACTTCTCCAAGCTGCTCTCCAAAGTGACCAGGTCAACTATATTTCTTTTGGAGTGTGGGGTGGGGAGAGAGGGCACACCTGGCAGTGCTCAGGGTTTTCTCCTGGATCTGCACTCAGGAATTCTGGAAGACTCAGGGGGCCATATGAAATGCCACGGATTGAACCCAGACCGGCCTCATGCAAAGAGTTCCTTACCCCTCTGGACTATTTCTCCAGCCTCTCAACAACACCTCTTAAAAATTCCCTTTGTCAAGGTCCAAGTGATAATTTGGCAGGTAGGGCATTTACCTTATACATAACTGACCCGGGTTCTACCGCCAGTACCCCATATAGTCCCTGGTGCAGAGCCAGGAGTAAGAACTGAGGACTGCTGTGAGTGGCCCCCCCAAAACAACAGCTTCCTGTCTCTTTTCCTACCCACTAGCCTCAAACATAGCCACTTGTCCACATTCTCTTTCTAAAATGGATGTGAAATCTGACCCCTCCTCCCCCAAATTCTCCTCCATCCCTTACTCTCACACCCCTAGCCCCATCATACCAGCCTTGCAAAAGTCCAAGAACTGGTCTGGTAAGACCAGAATGTGAGCAAGGGAGGAACTGAGTCAAGCAAAGTAGAGACCTCCGCATCATGGGTGTGTGGAGGAGGATGGGAGAAATTTGGGAGCTGCACATTTCTATTGAATCATTTGTACTGAGTCAGACGCCAAGCCCAGGTGACAGGTAACTGTCTGATTTCCCAGACACTGCAAAACCTGAGCGTCTGCTTCCTCACAGTGTATCAGGAAAAGACTCTGGACGTTTTCCAAAGTCCTCATAGGATGAAGGGAAGTCAGGCCTGAGATTGCATCCTCTGTTTGAACAATGAATTCTCAAAGGCTGAGATTGTATCCTCTGATTGGGCAGTTAATTCTCAGGGACTTGACCCCAACCTCCGGGGGTGCTAAGAGCTGCTGTAAAACATGCAAGTGTGAGAGCATTTTTTTTTCTTTTGGGTCACACCCAGCGATGTACAGGGGTTATTCCTGACTCATGCACTAGGAATTACTCCTGGCGGTGCTCCGGGGACCATATGGGATGCTGGGAATTGAACCCGGGTTGGCCACGTGCAAGGCAAACACCCTACTCGCTGTGCTGTCGCTCCAGCCCTGTGAGAGCATTTTGAAAGTGCCAATAATTCAATTTTTACTTACTAAAATGTCTAGGTCTTGAGTTAGAGAGATAATAAAGGGGTTAAAGTGCTTGTCTTACATGCAGCCAACCCCAGTTCAATCTCTGGCCCCATCTATAGTCCCTGAGTAATCTCTGAGCACACAGAAAGGAGTAAGCGCTGAGCATAGATGACCATGACCGCAAACCAAACCAGAACAAAAATTTCCAATTATCAGTAATTAAAAAACTGGGAAGGGATGACTACCAAGCAATGCTTAGGAGGTCTTGTACTACGTCTCTAGTCCATTAGTAATTCAAGTTTAAAAAATATGTAGTCAAAGTTTTTCTGAGTGATAATCGAGGATGTTGATGCTAATCATTCTTGTTTTCTAAATCATGAAGACAAATCCTCTTTCTGATGAAACACAATTACAACACCGATTCCCATTGAAAAATGATAAGTAAAGGGGCCAGAGAAATGGTACAACAGGTAGAGCATTTGCCTTGCACATAGCTGACCTGAACTCAATCCCCAGCATCCCATATGGGGCACCAAGCAATGCTAGGAGTGCTTCCTGAGTGCAGAGCCAGGAGTAAACCCTGAGCATCGCTGAGTCTGACCCCAGACTCTCCAAAACATGATAAGAGGAGCTGGAAAGAGAGGTCAATGGGCTAAGTGCTGGCTTTACACGCAGGAGGCCTGAGTTTGAACCCTGGCACCGCAGCATTCCCTGAGCACTGCCTGGAACAACTGCTGAGCAACAAGTTGTGGGTAGATGCTGTGCGCACCAAGCAGGCACACAAACAAAACCAAAAGACATGAAATGTTTTCTCTTTAATCATAGGATATCAATAATTCAGTTCTCATTCTAAAATTTTAAAAATTGGTGGTGCTCAGGGGCTGTTCCTGTCTTGGCGGTTGGTGGAGGTGCTTGGGGGGCCGTGCAGTGGTAGGGCACACACTCGAGCCTGTTGAACTATTGTCCAGTCTCTTTAATTTAATTTTAATTTTGTTTCAGTAGCCACACCCGACAGTGCTCAGGGGTTACCCCTGTTTCTGCACTCAGAGATCACTCAGCAGGCTTGGGGGACCGAATGGGGTACTGAGGGTCAAACCCAGAATAGCCACATGCAGAGCTCCAACTGTTTCCTTAAGATTTAAAAGTAATCAACAAATCTATTCTCTTTCCTTTTTCAGAATATAAATGTTGGCTATATTTTAGAAACTTCTGCTTTGGGATTTTTTTTTTCTTTTTGGGTTACACCCAGCAATACTCAGGGCTTACTCCTGGCTCTTCACTCAGGAATTACTTCTGGCAGTGCTCAGGGGACCATATGGGATGCTGGGAATCAAACCCGGGTTGGCCGCATGCAAGGCAAACGCCCTACTCATTGTGCTATCACTCCAGCCCCTATTTAGGGATTATTTTTAAAAAGAAAATCACCCCGGGGGCTGGAGCGATAGCACAGCGGGTAGGACGTTTGCCTTGCATGTGGCCAACCCGGGTTCAATTCCCAGCATCCCATATGGTCCCCTGAGCACCGCCAGGAGTGATTCCTGAGTGCATGAGCCAGGAGGAACCCCTGTGCATTGCCAGGTGTGACCCAAAAAGCAAAAAAAAAAAAAGAAAGAAAGAAAGAAAATCACCCCGTGGTTTCCAGGGAGATACCTAAAGGACTGGAGAGGCTGCCTAGTGTGCAGACAACTTGTGTTCCATCCCTGGCATGGGGGCTGGAGCAATAGTACAGCGGAAAAGGCACTTGCCTTGCACAAAGCCGATCCACATTTGATCCCCAATACCCCAAATGGACCTCCAAACATGCCAGGAGTAATTCTGAACACAGAGCCAGGAGTAACCCCTAAGCATCGCCAGGTGTGGCCCCCAAACAAAATAATAATAATAATAAACCAAACAATTCCTCAATTTCTGGCACAATATGTTCCCCCAAGCACCACTGGGATGACTTTGGTAGCCCACAGCACATCTGGCCCCAAGTATCACCAGCAATGGTCCAGATTCCCTGAGCATTGCTTTAGAGACTTTCCTCCCCAAAATTTGCCTACGTGGGCTGGAATGAAGTACAGAGAGTAGGGCACTTGCCTTGCACTTGGCTGACCTGAATTCAATTCCTAAATCCCATTTGGTTCCCCAAGCATCACCAGGAGTAATTCCTGAGTACAGAGCCAGGAGTAACCCCTGGGCATCACTGGGTGTGTGCGGAGGGCCCGCAAACCACTCTCCGACCCGCGGAGGTGGCCCTAGGATCCGTAGGTGCAGGGAAGGACTGACCGAGTGAACACAAGACACAAGAGACAGAGTATAGTTTAGAAATAGAGAGAAAAAGGGACAGCACTTTATTTAGGGATACAGGCTGTTTATATAGGGTCCGGGCAGCTCAGTCAGGAGCAGAAGCAGTATAACTATATATGGTAAGGTCAGCAACAAGAGCTTTACCTAACATTCAAGGTAGACATTTGTACATCAAAGGGTCTTGTGGCAGAAGGTGCATCCTGAGCTTTACATTTGTATATCAAAGGACCTTATGGCAGTAGGTGTATCCTGAGCTTTACATTTGTATATCAAAGGGTCTTAGGGAGTAGATGCATCCTGGAGGTTACTATAGATAAGGCCAGCTAA